GATATTTTTTTTAAATAGAATTATAATTATAATATTATAAATAATTTACGAAAAAAATTTAAAATATTTTTATATTTTATTCGTGTTGTTATTTTATTTTGTTTAATAATATATATAATATTATTTATATTAATATATTCAACATCCTATTTTTATATTATATATAAATATTATTCTATTTAAGTGATAAAATCTTATTAAAATAAAAAAATATTATTTATAAAAAATATTCATTATTATTTATATTTTATAATTATATATTATATTTATAAATATTAACATTTTACATATAAATAAATATAATTATTATAATTTTTTTCATTTAATATTTTTAATTAATAATTATTTCATTATATCTTCCAAAGATACTTTACCTTTTGAAATTTCTTTAATATTATCAAATACTATATCAAACTATTATTTATTTTTATAAAATATAATATTATAAACATACTTCTTTTTCAGAAATTATATCTCCAACTTTTAATAATACATTCTTTAATTCTTCTTTATCAATAGTATTATTATTTAATTTATCAAAAATTTATAAAGCATTCATTAATTCTTTTTCGTTTGGTTATTTTTTTTAAACACAAGCAATTGCTACAAGAAAATCTTGAAATTCAATATATTCATTATTATCTATAAAAATTAAAATATTAATATAAAAAAATGTAAATATAAAATAAAATATTAATAAATATATATTAAATAAATATATATATATATATATATATATATATATAATTTACTTTTTATTAATTTTACACATAATTCTCTTATTTCTAAAGTACTTACTAAATAACCCATAGATCTAATTGCATTTCCTAATTCTTTATTACAAACATATATATAATATAAATTTATTCATTATAATATAAAAAAACGTAATTTAGGAAGTTAATTTTTTCCTTTTCTTTCATAAAAATCATATACTTCTCTACATTTATTAATATCTAAATTAAATTTTTTAATATCTTATTATTATATTTTTTATAAATTAGGAAAATACTCCTATAATTTTTTTTAAAAATATGTTTTCTTATATTATAAAAAATAATTTAAATATATATATACTTATCCTAAATCTACTGTTTATTTTATCTTCTATTTGGCTTATTTTTCAACTGGCTATTAAGTTGAATTTTTTGCATTATTTTTTAAGTTTTATACTGAATTTTCTGATACTTTTTATTATGGTTTTTTATTCATTTTTTTATAAATATAATTTTTTTATATATAATTTTATATTTATTAATTTTTTGTAAATAAAATCAGACATTTAATTAATATAAAGGTTAATAATTTCTATGATAATAATCAATTTCATTTTCATATATTTAACTTTCTGGCATATTCTAAACTATTTAATATGTGTTTATAGGATCTTTACTAACATTTTTATGAATAGATTTCATTTCAGCTCTTTAATCTCTATAAAAATTAGCAAATGTATCCTAATTTAATTATTACTTTGCAAAATAATTACAACTTTAAGGCCTTTTTTATCTCTAATTAGTCAAAAAAGCAACTTCTTCTTTTAAACTTTCATTCTCTAATGTAAGTTAAGCAATCATTTAATCGCTTTATTTTTTATTATCTTATATTTCTTATTATAATTATTATTAAGGTTTTTAATTTTCATTCATTAAATTATCTATTCTATTCATAAGAACCTAAATAACCCTATTTTTTTCATTAATTTCAGCTTCATATTCATTTCTTAAATTTTCAACATAACTTTTATGATCTTCATGAATATTTTTAATTATGTTATCATCAATAACCTTTTTTAAAAAATTTTAAAATGCTTAATTTAAAATTAAAAAAAAATATTATTATTACATTTTTATACTGTTATTGTTATTATTATTATTATTATTATTATTATTATTATTATTATTATTAATATTATTATTAAATGGTGATTGTTATTAGTTTTAAAATTGAATTTATTATTATTAATAAAATGGAATTTATTATTATTGTTAAAACTACTATTATTATTAAAATTGCTAATATGTTTAAAGTTTTTATGTTTCATATATGTCTTGTTATAAAAATCTGTATTTCTAATTTTTTTTTTTAATTTTTCTATAATTTCTTCTAATTCTTCATTTGTTTGTTCTTTTTTTTTTAATTTTTTTTCAAGTTCTTGATTTTCCCTTTTTTATTTTTTATTTTATTAATTTTTCTTAAAACATATATAAAAAAAATCACTAAATTTTTGTATTTTATAATTATAATTAAAGATTAATTTCATTTTTTAATTTTGTTTCATTTTATAAATTATTTTCCAAATTAACTTTTTCTTACTAAAGAGCAGTTATTTTTTTTGTTTAAGATTGTATTTTTTATAAATAATCAGTTATTTTATAATTTTATTATTTATTATTATTTTCAAGTTAAGACGCAAGATTATCATTATTTTTTTTTAAATTCTATATTTAATATTATATAATTTTATTTATTTATCATTTTTTTTACCTCACAATTTTATTTACTTTATTCTAATTATTTTTTTAGATATATATTTTCATTTTCAAAATCTTTTTTTCTTTAATTAATTTTTCGTTATTTTTTAAATTTCATTTATTTATTAATCTTTTTCTGTTTACTATTATTTATTAATTTTTTTTTTATAAAAAAATGCTACTTTTTTCTTGTATTATTATATTGTTTTTCTTATAATATAATTTAATTCTCTTTCTCCTTAATAGTATTTTCTAATTTAGAAATTTTATTAATAAGATTATTTTTTAATTTAAAAAAGAAGTTTCAAGTTCTTAAATTTTAGACTCTTCTTAATTTTTTTCGAAATTTTACTATTGTAGTTTTTCAATTTAATTTTTTAAACGCTTTTCTTAAGTTTTTAATTATTTAATTTAGTTTTAATATGAAATTTCAGAATTTTATTAATTTTAAATATTTTATTAATTTTATCCATTTTTTAATTAATCTTTTTAAGGCGAACAATTTTCATCTTATTCTTCTTTTATAGTAAAAATTACTTTTTTTAATTATTATTTTTTATTCATATTTATTTGTATATATATATATATATTTTATTTAAATATTATATGAAATAATAAAACAAATATATTTATAATTTCAAAATAAATATAATACATATATCAATTTTAATATTGATAACATAATATAATATATATAATATAATATTTTTTTTTTTTTAATAAATGTTATATCCAAACTAATTGTATTCAGATAGATCAAATTTTCATCAAAAAAATGATTCTTAATATAAATATCCATATTAAAATAATTTAAGATAGTCATCCTTATAATAAAATCAAAAGGATATCAATAAAGAGTTTGTTTTATTAAATTCATTAAAAATAGATAAATCAACCGAAACCAATAGTACTTTTTTTTTAATACTTTATAAAAATAAAAAGTAGAATTTTTAAAAAAATAAACATAAAGGATTTTCTATTAATGATGTTTTTTTTTTTAAACTATAATATTTATGATGAATATATCTAATAATTATATTTATTTGCATATTTTATTTATGTTTAGCTTTAACCTGTCTTAAAAAAAAAAAATGAAGAAATAAATAAACTAACTAATAGTATAAATTAATTGATTTTGATAAATTAAGAACTAATGTAATATATTTAAGAAAATATATAACCATTAATTATAAAAAAATATATATATATAATTTAATAATTAATTAATTATATTATTTAAAATATAGGAATTAAAAATGCTAAAATAAATAAGAAATATAAGATTTATATAAAAAAAACAAAGAATTAGAAGAAGACAATACAAAATTAGCAGAACTAATATAGTTTTAAATAAAATAAATTAATTAAATATAAAAAAATATAAAATAGAAAATAAATAATTATATTTAAATATATATATATATATATTTATTTATATATATATTTATTATTCCATTTTTATATTTATTCTAATTAAAATAGATAAAAATTGGAACAGTTTAGTGATTTTTATTATAATGAAATTCTTTAATAATAGATTTAAAATGAGTTTAATCCTTAAAATTATTAATCAAAATAAAAAATATTAAACATTATTATAGAATAAGAAAATTTAATTAAAATAATTTAATAGCTAAATGTTTAGATTGATAATATGAAAGATAAACTATAAACAAAAGAAATTGAAAATTAAGATTTAAAAATAAATTTAGATAATATTTTAAAATTATAAAATGAAAATAGTATGCAAGTAAAAGAATTAGAAGATTAATTAATTTCTAAATAATAAGAAATATAGAAATTGCATGAATAATTAAATATAAATAAAAATAAATTAGATGATAATAAAAATATTAAAAATATTGATAAATTAATATAGTTAGAAAAACATTTGAATATTTTAGTAAAAAAATTAGAATAAAAAGATCATGAAAACGCATTATTAATGAAAGAATTAAAATAAGAAAACAAAAATAATTAAGTTATATAAGATTTAAATATTTAAATTAAATAAAAAGATATTGAAAACATTCATTTAAATTAAAAAATCTAAGATTTTTAAACATTACTTGAACAAGAAAAGAAAAAAAAGAATTAATAAACCAATTCCTTACTAAATTAAATAAAGTAAAAATAAATTATATAATAAATATATTAGAAAATATATATATAAAAATATTTTTTTTATATAATCATATATTTATATATATAAATATATATTTATTTATCTTTATTTATATCTATTTTTAATGATTAACATTTATATAATATTTAGGGATTAATAAATAATTATAGTAGAACTTAAAAATAAATTATAGAATTGTAAAAATGATAAAATAAATTAATAAGAATGAATAAAAATTATAATATATATTCATAAAAAAAATTATTTTTTTTTTAAAAAACTTAAAATAAATATAAAATATTATCATTTTTTTTATATTTTTTTGTTAATTTTTGGTTTCTTTTAATTTTATTATTTTTAAAATTTTTAATTTCCTTTATTTTCATTTTTTTCTTATTTTTAAGATTTATTTTTATTGTTAAATTTCTGAGTGAATTATTTCTTTTTTATAAATAGTTATTTCTTCTTTTTATTTTCCTATATTTATTTCATCTTTTAAATCTTCTTTTCTTAAATACTTTTAAATAATTCTTATTTTTTCTTTAAATTATTTTCAAACTAAGCATATTCTTCTTCATTCCAATCAAAGTCTTTGCCATCTGCAAAAACTTCAGATATTCCCTATTCTCCTTTTTAAATATGCACATTTTTCGATTTTAAATTATTAAGTTGTTCTTCTTCATCGAATTCAATTTCTTACTTATCTTCTTTCAAATTAACATTTTCTTCTTTTTTAACTCTTGTTCCATTATCCAGTTTTTTTCGAATTTAGCAACGAAAAATCCATCCATATTATGAATATGAGGTAATATTCTTCGACATTTTTTAATACTAGGGTCAAATCTTTTATCTTAATATTTAATATATCCTTCTTCGCCGACATCAACTCCGGTATCAACAAGTTTAACAAATCTGTTTTTCAAAGCGTAATCAATAACACTTTCGTTTTCCTAAACTGATACACTACAAGTAGAATATACTATGTAACCGCCTTTTTTACAACAATCTATAGCCGAAAGTATAAGTTCTCTTTATAAATGAGAATGTTTGTATACATCAATTAATTACTATAAAAATATAAATATACATATATATATATATATATATATATATATATTAAAAAATACTTTTGTAGCTTTTATAGATTAATCTCTTGAAATAATACCTAAACCTGTACAAGGAGCATCCAATAAAACTCTATCAAAATTATTAATACATTTAGGCAATTTTCTACCATCGTAATTAGTAACTACACAGTTTGTAATTCCCATTCTTTAGACATTGTAAATAAGAGCCTTAATTAAATGATAAATATAAACAAATATATATATATATATATATATATTATAAATATATATATGATTATTTAAAATATTTATATTTACATATATTTATATTTTTAATATATTTTATATTTAAAACTTTTATAAATATTTAAATATTTAATAGAATTAGTTTTTTTTAATTTAATTTTTATTAAAAAATTGCATATAATTTCATATATATTAATAAAAAATTATATATAACTTATATTTTTACATTTTTTTTATATATATTTAATTACTTTGTTTCTTTCACTCTTAATATCATTGGCAAATAAAATACCTGTATTTTTCATTAATTAAGCTACATATGTAGTTTTCCCTCCAGGAGCAGCTGACATGTCTAATATTTTCTCATTTTACTAAGGGGCTAAAGCAATAACTGGAATAAATGAACTAGCACTCTAAAGCATATAATAACCCGCTAAATATTCAGGAGTAGCCCCAATAGGAACTTTAGAATCATAAATTTTCAATCCAACCTTAGTCCATTCAGCTAATGAATCTAAATTAACACCCCTTTATGCTAAAATCTGAGCTAATTCTTTTCTTCTCGTTTTTAATGTATTAGTTCTTATTGTTACCGGTCTCTGAGTTTCATTTGATTCCAAAAATTAAACTAATTCATTAGGATTAAACATAGACATAAATAGGTTAATCAAATCTCTATTGTAGTTGTAGTATTACATTAAGTAGGTTTAAAGTTCATCTAAAATACTTTAACGAGAACGCTTTTCTTTATTGTTTTCATTGAAATTAGATAAAATGTGTAAAATATCATTAATTTTCATATTTAAAATAGCTAAATCAGGTTATCCGTCTTTTTGATTAATTTATAATGTTTCCTATATATTGAAAAAATTAAATGATTATATATATAAATATGATAAATAAATATATTTATATTTATATATATATTTATATATATATATATTGTTAATATTTATATATATAAATATTCATTTATATATATATATATATTATTTTTTTAATACTTTATTATATTATTAACTTTCTTCTTCTTCCATTTCTATCTCTCCTTCTTCGCCTTATGAATTTTCTTCTGCTTCTCCTTCTTCTTAATCTTCTTCTTCTTCTTTATTATCATCATCGTTTTCTTCATCTTATTCTTCATGATCATTTTATTCTTATTCTTCATCGCTATTTTATTATTCATATGAATATTATTGGTCTTCTTCAGAATATTATTGTATTTCTTCCTCTTCAATTTCTGATTCAGTTTCCTGTTTTTTTATTATCTTTTTTTAAGATTTTATTTATGCATTATTATTTTTATTTTTCGCCATTATTTATATTTTTTTTTATTTTTTTTTAATTTTAGTTTTTTGTTTTTATATATAAATTTTTAGCTTTTTAATCATTATAGAAAAATAATTAAAAAAATATTATTAATGTAATATTTTAATTACTTGCAAATATTTTTAGTTATCAATAATTTTATAAGCTAAAAAAAAAAAAAATTATAAATTTACATTTAAAAAAATTTAATACAAAAAAAAAAATATTTATTTTAAATATTTTAAATTATATTTTTTAAGTTTTAAATGGTAAAAATTTAGATAAAAATTCTATAAGTAATTTATTTGTTTTTTTTTTATAAATTAAGTATAAAAATAAAAGAATACATTAATAAAAATTTATTTCTTTAATTATATTTTTATTATTAATAATTTAGTTTTTTATTTTTTTTATATTTAATTTATAATTAAAAAAAATGAAATTTTATTTCATTTTAAAAACATTAAAAATTATTATTTATTGTTGTTATTAAATTAAATATATAAATCTTAATTTAAATAAATGAAGAAAGTGAAAAATAATTAGATCTAAATTATAAAAAAATAAATTTATAAATAAACATAAATTACTAAAAAAAAAAATACTAAAAAAAAAATTATAAAAAAAATGTCTAGAAATTACTTTACAAATATCGTCGATGATAAAAGTTTTAAATAAATGATCATTGAACTTAGTAAAATTGAAGTATAATATAATTAATTGATATTAATCTTCTAGTAAAAAAAAAAGATCTATAAATAAATACATAAAGATAAAAATAATGATAAAAATAATATATATAATAAAATAAAAATATATATATATATATATATATATATATATATATATATATATATATGTTTATTTCATTTTTTTTATATTTATTTTTTAATAAATTTAAATATTTATATTTAAAGAGATTGTATGTTTTAAACTTAATTACACTTTTTAGAATTAGGAAAATGCATTTCAAATCATAAAAATTTAATTTAACTTAAATTATAATTTTAGTAATTTATAAAATACAAACAAATATTTTAATTTATTATTTTTTATTTAAATCAATTAAAATTTATATTTATTTTATTAATTCTTGAATTCTTATTAATAAATACTAAAAAATATAATTTATATACAAATAATAATCATCTAAGATAAATATATACAAAATATTTTTCAAAAAGTGGATAAGATTATTTCGAGAATACAGTCCTTATGCAATTATTTAGTCATATATAAGAATTAAAAAATATCTAAGATTTTTAAATAACATTTAGGTTTTAAATATATTTTATATTTTTTTTAATATTTAAATTAATAAAATTTTTTTATATTAATATATATAATATATTTTTTATATTTTAAATCTTTTAAAGATCTAATTTTCATTTTGATAATTAAGCATTATTTTATTTAACTGATAAAATAAAAACTTTTACATTTTTAAAACACCTTAGAATCGAATTTTAGTAAACTTATAAACTAATTGTTTTAAATTTTTAATAATTTTTTATAAATTATAATATATATTTTAAAAATTATAAAAATAATATAATTTTTAAATTTATATTAATTTAATTTAAATATATTTTAAAAATATTATTTATAGATAAAACAAAAAATTTGATGATGAAGGTTTTATATATTTATCAAAAGAAGGCATTTCTTAATTAACTCATTTAGAATCACTTTATTTAAATTTCTAGTATTTAAAATTTATTATTTTTCAAATTTTAATATAAATAATAAATTAGATTTAACGATAATTTTACTTATTTAAGTCTTAATTCTTTGAGATAAGCTTACACTTATTTAGAAAAATTACAAAAACTTTAACTTTTTATTAAGTATATATTTTTTTATTGATATATTTATAAATATTAATAGTTTTACGTCTATAGATAATCATAGTCTTTAATATTTGGATGAAAGATCTGTATTTTTAAATAATTTTAAATAACTTGGTTTATTATTCAAGTAAAAATAAAAAATAATAATTTAATTTATATTTAATCCATTATAATAGTTATAATTCACTAATAGTAGATTCTGAAATAAATCGATTTATTTAGGTTCTTTCCTAATTAAAATAATTACATAGACTTGATATTAATTTTGTGTAAATAAATAAAAATTATTATAATTATTTTTCTATTAATAAATTTTTTAATAAGTACTAAAAATCTATTTAATGCTTAATATGTTGAATATTTTATAAATGCAATCATATAATTATACAATTTATAATTTTTATATTTAAATCTTGGGTTTAAAATAAATACTAATTATATTAACTTTATTTATAAAATAATATATAAAGATTTAATGAAGGAATTAATGATAAAACTTTATTATAATTAACATAAGCTGTTACTAATTTAAATTAAATTTAATAACTTAATCTTATTTTTAGGTATTTTTATTTATTTAATTTAATAAATATTTTTTTTTTTCAATTAAATTTCTAAATATTAGTAAAAGCTAAATAAATAATAATGATACATATCTTAATATTGGTAGAGAATTGAAAAAACTTAAAAATTTAAAATAGCTTAATTTTGATTTTGGGTATATATATAAAAATTTATTTTTAAAATGTAATTATTATTTTTATAGAAAATTCAAAATTTATACATAAAATTTCTAAAAAGGAGTATTTTTTATTAGAAAGTAATAAAAATTAATATTTTTAATTTTCTTTAATAATATAGGAGTTAAGAAATTATAAAAATAGAAAATATACTATAAGCAGAAAAAGTTCTTAAAGGAATTGAAAATGTTATTAAATTAATATTTGATGAGTAAATAAATTAAACTAAAAAATAATAAATTATAAATAAATAAATATAGGTTGAATTAAAAAAAATTAATAGTTTATTTTAAAAAAAAATGCTATAAGTTAGTAAATATAAATTGATAATAATACGGAAATAATATTAAAAAAGATTAAACTTATAATACTGAATTATTTTTTATATGAAAAAATAAATATTTAGGAAAAAATTAGTTTTACTTTTTTAATAATTTTTTTATTTTAAATTAAATAAATTTTTTAATTATTAAAATAAAAAAAAAAATTTCTAATAAAAAAATAAATTATATATTTTAAAAATAAAAATAAAAATAATTTTAATAATAAATATATTAAAAAAAGAATCTTTATTAATTTCATATAAAAATATTAATCAAACACAAATATATGTATATAATAAATAATTTATAGAATAACATTAATTTTAATAAAATAATAATAAATTGTTTAATTTCATATATTAAATAAATTGATATAAAATAACAAATATAATTAAATTAAATTTATTAAAATAAAAAATATATTAAAAATAAAAAATAAAAAATAAAAAAAACAAAAAACATAAATATAAAATATTCAAATAAAAAGATAAATATATATATATATATATATATATATATATATATATATATATATATTATAATTTTAATATTACTTAATCTATACATTAATTCAAGTTATTTTATTATATCTCACAATAATACAAATATCTTCAAAATAATTTTTTTATTAACTCATATATTATAAAATATTATCTTAATTTTTTCAATATTCTTTTTTAATTTAACAAAGCAATCGAAAATTCTCTATAATAAATAAACTTACATTAACTAATTTTTTTTAACGACACACTTATTTAATCCCCTTAAATAAACAATCTGTATTTTAAATATTCTATATTTTCATAACATAAAGTAAAGTAATTAATTAATTCACACTGCGAAACAATTAATATTTCTTAATATATATTTAGCATAAATAAATACCTATGTATTACCAAATTTAATTCTCAAAAGTTATATTAGTATTTTCTAGATTATCTATATTCTCGAAAGATAATTTTCAAAATACATATAATAACTATATATCACATTTTATCATCACAAACTTATAATTCTATTATAATTTTATTAATGAAACAATCTTTTAAAGCTCTTTTTGTCAAGTATTCCATAAAAAAAAATATGATATTTATCTTTGTAATTTACTAAAAAATTGAAAAATATTAAATAATATAATAGCTTAATTATCCACACTTTTGGTTTTAAATAAATAATAGTTATTACTAATTATTTTAATTGTTACTTCTTTTTAGGTTATTTATTAAACTAATATTAGAGAACAAAAAGAATCATTTCTGTCATAGTTTTTTCTAAATAATAATAATTTATATTATCTAAATTAAGGTACATTTGTACATATATACTTCTTTTTATGGAAATTTATCGAAAAATGAGGAACTTATATTAACATTAAAGGGCTAGATTTTCACTTTTGAATTTCTAAATACCTTTTTTCGAGATATTTTTCTGAGAATATATGAAAGTTCCCAATTTTTATTTTTTTATAAGTTTTCTTTTTATGTAGTTTTTTTTTTATTTATTTATGTTTGTTTTTAAAAGCGATTTTGTATTTTTTTTTTTTGAAATAAATTTTTGATTATATTTAAAAAAAAAAATTATATTTTTATTTTATTATTTTAAAATATAATATATATTAAAATAATATAAATATATTTAATATGTAATTTTAACAATTAAATATAAATTATATATAAACATTTATTATTTTGCCATTTCACATGATATCATATAGTTTCTAATTTTAATCTATAGCCCAAAAAAATAATTTTTAAAAATAAAAAAAAGAATTTTAAAAATTAAAAAGAAAAAAAAAAAAAATTTAAAAATTAAAAGAAAAATTATTATTTAAAAAAATTTACATTAAGGAATTAGGCCAAGTTTTTGTTTAATCATAACAAAAAACTATATATAACTATTTTTTTTAAAAAATAATTATAAATAATATATATATACATATATATATATATATATATATATATATATTTATATATATATATATATATATTATTTTAACAAAAAATACTCTTATTTTTAAGCTGTAGGTGTCCAAACATCTACCAATTCAAATAGAGATTCATATAAATCATCTCTTGACATTTTATTTTTTCCTTTACAATCCATTTTCCAG